GGAGGGGAGAAAAATCACTCAAAGAACCAAAAAGAAAAAAACAATTAAAAAACACAAGGACAGCTTAAGGGAGCTGTGGGACAACATGAAACGTAACAATATTCACTTTATAGGAATGCCTTAGGGTAAGAAAGTGAGAAAGAGATAGAAAATGTGTTAGAAAATGTTAATAGAGATAGAAAAGAAATAATGGCAGTAAACTTTCCTAATCTGGTGAAAAAAAGACAACCAACATCCTACTCAATGGGCCAAAACAAAACCATTTCCCTTAAGAACATGAACAAGTCAGGGATGTCTGCTTTCACCACTCTTATTCAACACAGTACTGGAAGTTCTAGCCACAGTGATCAGACATGAAGCAATAACAGGTATCCAAATTGGAAATAAGGAAGTAAAACTCTCATTATTTGTAGATGACATAAAAATGTACATAAGAAAACCCTAGAGAATCCACCAAAAAACTACTAGATTTAATAAATGAATTTGGCAATATAGCAGGATACAAAATTAACACCCAGAAATCAATGGCAATGAACTATCAGAAAGAGAAACTAAACAAGCAATCCCATTTACCATTGCAACAAAAAAATTAAGATACTTAGGAATAAACTAAACTAAGGAGGTAAAAGACTTATATCCAGAAAACTATAGGATGTTGAAAAAAGAGATAGAGCAAGATCTAAGCAAGTGTAAGAATATACCATGTTCATGGATTGGTAGAATCAATATCATTAAAATGTCCATACTACCCGATGCAATCTACAGATCCAATGCAATGCCTATTAAAATACCAATAGCACATTTCACAGTTCTAGAACAAATACTCCAAAAATTTATATGGAACAACAACAAAAATCCTGAATAGCCACAGCAGTACTGAGAAAGAATAAAGTTGGAGGGATCACAATACCAGATATCAAGTTATACTACAAAGCCACTGTAATCAAAACAGCCTAGTACTGCCGCAAGAACAGACATATAGATCAATGGAACAGAACAGAACAGAGACCCCAGAAATCAACCCAAGCCATTATGTTCAATTAATTTGACAAAGGAGACAAAAGCATACAATGGAGTCAAGATAGTTTCTTCAATAAATGATGTTGGGAAAATTGGACAGATACAAGCAAAAAAGTGAAATTAGACCACCAACTTACACCATACACAAGAATAAACTAAAAATAGATAAAAGACTTAAATGTTACTCATGAAACCATAAAAACCCATAGGCAGCAAAATCTCAGACATCTCTCATAGCAATATCTTTGCAGATATATCTCCTAGGGCTGTGGTCAGCAAACTGCGGCTCGCAAGCCATATGCGGCTCTTTGGCCCCTTGAGTGTGGCTCTTCCACAAAATACCACATGCGGGCACGCATACAGTGCGATTGAAACTTCATGGCCCATGCGCAGAAGTTGGTTTTCGGCCTGGGCGAGTCTATTTTGAAGAAGTACTGTTGATATTTGGCCCTGTTGACTAATGACTTTGCCGACCACTGTAGGGCAAAGGAAACTAAGGAGAGAATAAACCAATGGGACTACATCAAAATAAGAAGCTTCTGCACAGCAAAAGAAATCGTCAACAAAATGAAAAGGCAACCCACTGAATGGGAGAACATATTTGGCAATAATACAACTGATAAAGGGTTATTATCCAAAATTATAAGGAACTTGTACAACTTAACAAAAGGAAGACAAACAATCTAAATCCAAATTAAAAATGGGCAAAGGACCTAAATAGACACTTTTCCAAAGTGGACATACAGATGGCCAAAAGACATATGAAAAAATGCTCAAAATCACTGATCATCAGAGAGATGAAAATTAAAATGACAATGAGGTATCACTTCACACCTGTCAGAATAGCTACCATCAACATATCAACAAATGACAAGCGATGGCAAAGATGTGGAGAAAAGGGAACCCTAGTTCACTGCTGGTGGGAATGCAGACTGGTGCAGCCATTATGAAAAATAGTATGGAGTTTCCTCAAAAACTTAAATATGGAACTGCCATTTGACCCAGTGATCCCACTTCTAGGAATATATTCTAAGAAACCCAAAC